TCATGCAATCACTTCTTCATGGTTGATTCTTTGTCGTCCGATTTCGGTTCCAGTGGTGGCTGTGATTGTAATTCTGGTGGTGACTGTTGTGGTGGCGATCGCGGCAAGAGTGGTGTTTATGCGAATGCGGCGTTCTCCAGTGGTATTAGTAATTCGTTTGTTGTCGGTTTTGTAGGTTCTTCCACTGCAAGTAGAGTTTTTAGTGATTCTGATCGCCTTGCACTTGGCGGTTTAACAGATGAACAATGGGCTCACTTTGTGTTTTTGGTTAGTTCTACTAAACAAACGAATTCCTTGTCTGGTACGCGTGGTTTATTTGATTGGATGTACGACTGTGGGACAACTCACCATATGACAGGGTTCTTGGAGTTTATTTATGATGTTCGGGATATTCCCGCCCGTCCTGTTCAATTGCCTAATGGTTCCTTCACTATGGCTAGCAAGGCTGAGACTGTTTATTTGGTATTTCATATAACTCTTTATGATGTTTTATACGTTCCCAACCTTCGATGCAGCTTGATTTCATTATATCAATTGTTGGATCATTCCGACTGCACCGGTCAGTTTACTAGCAAATTTTGTATTATTCAGGACCACACTTCGCGGAAGGTGATTGGCGCCGGTGAGCAGTTGGGGGGTCTCTATTTTTTTTGAAGGATAGTTTCTATGACAGTTTCTTGTGTTTGGAAGGTTTCTGTCGATGTGTGGCATCAACATCTGGGTCATCCGTTTGCTCAAGTATTGTCCCAAGTTCCTGTTATTGATTTCAGTTCTCGTAATTTGCATAAATTGTGTTATGCTTGTTTTCGTACTACAACATCGTTGTAGTTTTCCTCTCAGTCAAACTGTTAGTCATGAGACTTTTCATTGATCCATTGTGATTTATGGGGTCCGTATCATGTTCCGTCTTTCTGTCGTGCACGATATATTTTTACTATTGTGAATGATTGTTCTCGCGGAACATGGGTTTATTTATTGAATGATAAGACGCAGGTTGCTTCCACATTGCTGAATTTTTTTTCTATGATTAAGCGGCAATTTGATAAATCAGTGCGTATTGTTCGTAGTGATAATGGAGTGAGTTCATGTGTATGGCCTCTTATTTTCGTCGTCAAGGAATTTTGCATGAGACTTCTTGCGTAGGCACCCCTTAGCAGAATGGGTGTGTGGAACGCAAACATCAGCATATTCTCAATGTAGCTCGTGTTTTGCATTTCTAGGCTCAATTGCCTCTTCCATTTTGGGGTCATTGTGTTTTGAGTGCGGTCTATATGATAAATCGGACTCCTTCCTCAGTTTTACATGGTAAAACACCATATGAGATTCTTTATGGTTCGACTCCTTCCTTGTCTCATTTACGGGTTTTTGGTTGCCTTTGCTATGCTCATAACCAAGATCGTAATGGTGACAAGTTTGCTGCTCGAAGTTGTCGTTTTCTATTTGACGGTTACCATTTTGGAAAAAACGAGTGGAGTTTCTATGATTTGGATCGTCAAATTTTCTTTGTCTCTCGTGATGTGGGTTTCTTGAGACAAAATTCCCATATCAGTCAAACTCGTCTGAGCCCGATTCTTTGCCACCGCCTCTTGTTTTGCCGGTTTCTTCTGGGCCGGATGATGATGAGGATCCTCCGGTTGTCTCTTTGCCTCATGTTTCTCATGATACTGGGTCTTATGATACTGATATGAACATACATCTGACGACAAGGGGGTTCCGTTACCATTACCCATCCCATTCTTCCAGTGGAGCCCTTGGGTCGTGGTCATCGGACTAAGGTTCTTTCTACTCGGCTGAAGGATTTTGTGGTTGACACTGCCCGGCCCTCGACTACACCCCCCATTGCTTCTCCCCAGTCGTCTTCATCCTCCGGTACACCTTATCCCATAGCACATTATGTTTCTTGTGATTCATTCTCTCCAGTTCATCATGCCATTTTGGTTGTTGTCGCCTCCTTTGCTGAGCCTCGCACTTTTGCTTATGCCGTGACTGATCCTCGATGGCGAGCCGCTATGCAGTATGAGATTCGTGCCTTGGAGAATAATGACATGTGGGATGTAGTTTCTCTTCCATCTG